CCCCAGGGAGTGATAAAGGTGGTGAGGTGTCTATCGTCTGGGTGAAGGGGAACGCTGTGATAACCGTTCCAGCAGTCGAACACTGATTTCTTTTTGCCACTAAGAACAGAGCAAGCCTGATAAAAAGGGCTCTCGGTGTGGTGGGTCTCCCTTGTTTGCATTTGCATTTAGTGCTTCTAGGTCAACGGTTCGTCGTGGTTTACCGTTCTTTTTCGCACAGATGACCATCCTGTGGCCCCAGGTAACAGGCTCGCCAATTGGGACAGGTTCAATCACGCCGAGGGCCGCGTCTTGACGTCTTGGTCAAGGCCAGCTTTCACCTCGTCCAGCCAATGTAGAGGAACTGAGATTGGTGTATGGTGTGCTTTAGGTCTTGCATTTGGGTCAATCATGAGTCGCATTGGTGAGCCTTCCATAAGTGGCAGTTGTTGTTGCTCACAAGTGTTAAACGTGCTGGACTTGTAGTGATGGAGCAGCCAGTCTTCTGTTTTTTTTACGGTTTTCTTCGGTTGCAGGGAAGGGCAGTACTTTGGGTTTAGGAGGCGGCAGTTCGCGACGTTGGCAGTCACATGTGCGCTTTGATGGGTGTTCTGCCACGACGTGAATAGACTGGTTTGTATGTATGTCTACTGTCATTTTGTCTCCCACGGTGGGGAAGCTGTTTGGGTTGATTCCCAGGGCGGCGCATATCTCACGACATAGGAAGAGTTTATTAGAGTCACGAGTGACATATGCAATTTGACGGCTCTCCAATACCTGTCCGTCTTTGGATTGACCAGAGAATCTCACGATGGCTATACCGATGATATCGATGCCATTGTTGTTCGCAGCATGCATGCGCATATTGACCGGAAGCAGGTCTTTCTGGCGTATTCCTAGTTTTTTCATTATATGCATGCTGGAAAAGCTGCTCTGGCGTCCAGTGTCCGCCATAACATTCAAAGTGGCTGTCCGAGGTGTTCTACAATGCAGGGTTTACCCGAGGGCTGTGTTGTGCTCTGGGTGACACTTCGCATTTATATGGAGGAATGGTTGGGGATGTGACAGTTTTTTCACCCAGCGGTCATTGAGGTCATTGTAAGTATGGTGGTCTAGCAGGATTTCGTTTTTGCAATGTTGATGGCTGTTTGTCATGAACAGGCTGCCAAGCACTGCGTCGTCTTGGTCTCAGTTTGCGTTGTGTTTCGCGTCCCGACGCTTAGCTTTGTCTTTGCTTCCGCACATGGAAGCGTTGTGGTTAGGACGTCCCCAGCTATCGCATGTTTTGCCGTAAGCCGGGCATTCTTGTCGTCGGACATTGGGTGGGGCGTTCCTACCATGGCCATGTTTTCCACAGTAGTAACATAGTTCGGTTTTATTGGTTTGCATGCCCTGGATGATGTTGTATTGTTTTTCGCGGCGATATTGGCTTCTGGTAGCATCGACGCCTTGGCTATTATGTAGGTGGGTGGCCGAACCTCTGCCAGCTTCTTTGGCTTCTATGAACAGAAATGCCTCCTCCAGTGTCATATTTTGATTTTTATCGCTGAGCAAGTCTAGTTGGATGTCGCTATCGGCAATCCCAAAGGTTAATGTATCGCGGAGGATATTGTCCGCGTAGTTGATTTCTGTTGCGCAGTTGGGACAGTTAGTCGTAAATTTGCATAAACTGGCTTGTCCACGAAGACGTGCGCCAAAGCTGCGAAAGGTTTCGTCAAGATCCTGGCGCATGTTGTGTAGTTTGATACGGGCCACCATCGTGTTTTCTTCTCGTACAGCGAGTTCGCAGATTGCAGCCATGACGTCCTTGATGGGTTTGTTTTGAGGGTGCCGCCAGCATTTCTGGTGAGGTCCTTGCGAAGCGTTTCGTCACAGCATTCGAGTAATTGGGTGATTTTGTCTTTGCCGGTTATTTTTGCAGCTTTCACCTAATCCTGCCAGCGTGTTTGGAAATACGTCCATTCCTCACTGGACCCGGCCGCGGACATGGTTGGTTGTCTGACCTTTTCGATCTTGGCCGTGGCGTTGATGCCCGTGGGTGTGTTTGTCGCTTGGTTGTTGTTGTGAACGCCGGTCGAGTGGATTTGTAATACCAGGGGCGGATCTAGAGTATGTCAAATCCGTCGCTCGACTGATGTTTGAAATTCAAAAATTACCTATTCATATTAGTTAAAATTCATTAATTATTCTTACTTTCTTATCGCATTTACTTCGTGATAAAAATCCAGCTTTATTTATTATTGAAAACTAATGACTAATCCAATGAATATCTCCTTGGTAACCAGATCAGTTGAATTTTAATTGACCTGGAATAACCGACTGATAAGCGGGGTGGCTTGACTGGTTTGACGGATAAAGGAGTCTATCAACGACAAAAACGCTTATTTTATTGGTCAATGGCCAGATCAGTGGACAGTCTGGAATGGTCTCGACTGATAATAAGGGTGGCCGGACGTATAAGGGAGTCCAATTGCTATCTTACAATTGGTTCATTTGAATTTTTGTTTTATTGTGATTGGTTTGACGGATTTTGACTGATAGCCAACTGAACTAACATAGTCAAGCGTGGTGTCTGGAATGCGAGATAGATCATCACATTGTGATTCACTTTAGCGTGGTTTGTAAAATCTGTTTCATAGTATTTATTTGGAAAATCGTTTACGAACTACAATGTTAAATATTGATATGTATGCTGCTGTTCAGACTGCAATTTCGCAAGAGAATGATAAATCTCTGAATGAATTGAAATTGCGTTTGAATGAGGAATATTGTGGGGCGACTAAAATGCCTAGAGCGGAATTCTTATCATTGCTTTTTGAAAGGCGAAACATCATTGAGCAGAGAGTTCTCAGCAGAAATTTACATCCCCAAAATCGTACGTAAGCAACACGAGGACAAAGGAAATGCATGCATGGCCTTAAGGTATCCAACCATTAATATCAATTTATGCGACTCAATTTATGCGATGTGGTTTTTGTCTATTGACTGTTGTATGGATTTTAATGAAGCAGATTTCATTTTGTGCAGTGTATACTGAAGATCTTCGGCTTGGGCTTTTAATTTTATTATAAATATTGGCATAAATTCAGCGAATAGTGAATTTATATTTGAACTTTGAATTATCTTCTACTTGTAACTACGTAGCTATGTTAGATATTTCCTGGCCAGTTAGTTAAATTTTTGTTGGATGACTTATAGGAACACGAATTTTTTATTCAATTTAGATCAGAAGTATCTGGCAACTGTCTCTACAGTTCAGTGTCATTGCTTTTGGCAGGTGATAACAGTTTATTGCATATTTTGAGGCAGTTAACATCACTTGAGCTGTTTTTGAATGCTACTTTTTACTGCCAACACCCTTTATTTTCCTCAGTTGTTGAACAGCATAAAGAATTCAACAACACCTCAAAGGATATTTTACCTTTGACAGTATCTCAAGACTGTCTAGATTCTGGTTTTGTAGGTGTTGATCTTGTCAAAAAGGAGGCCTTTTTGAATTGTCATGACCAAAAGTGGTCATCATTTCTATGCATTTTAGCTCTTTCTTCTGTGTTGGAGACAAAAATTTTTACCTATTACCCAGATTGTGGAGAGAGCCGGCCTAAATCAATATTCAACTCTCTCGTTTGTCCAAGAAGAATAGTTAAAGAATCAGCCGATGCAATTCATCTTTTGTTTTGTTATAAAGGGGTAGTTAAATCAGATCAATGTTTCCAACCTAATCATTTTGTTCCTCTAGTTTTTTTTCCTAGCAAAACTAAAAGGACAATTTCTGGTCCAACATGCCCAGTGCCTTCAAAAAAAGCAAAAGCAGAAAAAAAGTCAGGGAATATCAGTAAGTTTTTTTCAAAAATGGAAAAACCAGAAATCATTACAAGTGAGGTTTCTTGTACTAGGGTTTCTGAACAAACCATTGAAGATTTACAGGTAAAGCCTAACTTTAGTCACAATTTCGATGTAGCTACATACTACGAAAGAGCTAAAGGTTTGAAAATGTCTGATATTTGTTTGCTTATTAAAAATGTTTTTAAACCAGATGAAAATTACACTTTTCCTCCTTTACGTGAGAACAATAAAAGGTCTTTTAAATATGAATGGCTCAAAGATTTTGCTTGGCTGTGTTATTCACCAAAGGAAGATGGTGCTTATTGCTTATCATGTGCTCTTTTTGGACATCAATTCCCCAGTAAATGCTCGAGAATAAGCAAGCTATTTCGTTCACCTTTTCGTTATTGGAATGATGCTGTAGGTACACTTAGGCGACATGCTGGAAATTGTAAGCGGGAAAAAATGGGACTGCATGCATTTACTTCTCCAATTTTGAATAATATACGATCTCAAATGTCAGGTGTAGCTCAACCCATTGAAAATATCTTAGACACTAACATAAAACTTGAAATTGAGCAAAATAGGAAAATTTTTAAACAAATTGTTGATACAGTTCTTTTTTGTGGAAGGCTTGGCATTGGATTACGAGGTCATCGTGATGATGCTCAATTTCACCCAGAGGTCGGTTGCTATTCAGTCAATGGCAATGTTGGTAATTTTGTTGAATCTTTAAATTTTAGAGTTACAGCTGGTGATCAAACCTTGGAAAATCATTTGCTCAAATGTGGTAAGAATAAAAGTTATATTTCCAAGACCAGTCAAAACAAAATCATCAATTGATCAGGTCAGGTAATATCAGAAGATATTATAAACGAGATAAAAAAAATAGATATTATTCTATCATTGCAGATGAAGCTGCTGATTCTTCTCACAAAGAGCAATTGTCCCTTGTTCTACGGTTTGTTGACTCTTCAATGAATGTTAAAGAAGAGTTCATGTGTTTCCTGCATTGCAAATGGGGGTTGAGTGGTCAAAAACTTGCAAAGCTTATTTTAGAAACTCTAGAGAAATTTGCTTTACCCATTATGGATTGCAGGGGAAAGGTTATGATGGTGCAGGGGCAGTTTCTGGGTATATAAATGGCTTAGCAGCCCACATTTTAAGAATTAATCCTAAAGCTCTTTACACTCACTGTTACAGTCATCGACTAAATTTGTCTGTCTGTGACACTCTTTCTAACGTTGAAAATAATAACATGTTATCTGTTGTTTCTCAAGCTGCCAATTTTATCAACATATCACAGACACGCAACATACCCTTTGCTGAGCACGTTAAAAAGTCAGATGTTCAGACCAAGAAGGCAAAACTGGTAAGTCTTTGTAAAACCAGATGGGTTGAGCGAGTTGACAGTCTTGACACGTTTCAACAATTGTTTATTCCTTTAATCGACACTCTTCAGGACATGATAAACAATGTAAGTGGCGAGGTGAAGCCTTCTCCTGCTGCTGATTCTTCCCAGTTACTTTCATTAGTTACTCAATTTCATTTTATTGTTGCGCTAGTTATTACTAGAAATATTCTTGATGCTACTCTTCCAGTCACGCAATTGTTGCATGGAAAAACTATTGATGTCATAGATGGCTTTCATTTGATAACCACTTTGAAGAATGATGTAGCCAACATGAGGAAAAGCATTAATTTTTAACAAAGCACTTGGTATGAAGAGGCTTTAAAACTTGCTGAAGAGGTGAACGTTCAAGAAACAAAAAAGCGAATTGCTGGAAGACAAACTATGCGATCTAATCCTCCCAGTCAATCATTCAAAGAACATTATAAACTAACCATCACTATTCCGTTATTAGACCATCTTCAAACATCTTTGAGCACTAGGTTTAACTTGGATAGTGTTAATGTGTACCGCGGATTATCTATCGTTCCCTTCAAAATGATGACTCTGTCGGACAAAGGAATTGATTGGAAAGAACAGTTTAAAAGTGTTGCAAAATTCTATTATGATGACTTGCCCAACCCCCTTGGTTTAGATGCTGAATTAAGGCAATGGCGTTTATACTGGGAAACGCACAATGGGCCTTTGCCAGAAAACATCGTCAAAACACTGAAGCATGTAACATTTCCAGGATTTGAAAATATTAAAGTTATTCTTCGCATTTTAGGTACACTACCAATCACCTCATGTGAATGTGAGAGATCAATTTCAGCACTGAGGAATCTAAAAACCTACCAAAGGAGCACTATGGTAGAGGAACGTTTAAATGGCCTGGCTTTAATGCGAATTCACCCAGAAATTATTCCTGACATAGAAAGAGTGATCAATAAGTTTGCTGAAGGTAATACACGTTTGAAATTTGCTTAATGTGTTATGGCTACGTTACTGTAGAAATATTACTGACTTTGCAACTGGCTGCTTAATGCGCCGTTGCTGCAGAAATGCAAGACAGCACAACTGGCTGCTTAATGCGCCGTTGCTGCAGAAATGTAAGACAGCACAACTGGCTGCTTAATGCGCCGTTGCTGCAGAAATGTATGACAGCACAACTGGCTGCTTAATGCGCCGTTGCTGCAGAAATCTATGAAAGCACAACTGGCTGCTTAATGCGCCGTTGCTGCTAAAACAAAGACTGTCCATGTCCGGAATCACATTATTGCTTTGCACTATGTGTTTCCTAGACATGCTGAAGAGCCCTGACATTGGGCGAAACGGTCTTAGCGTGTTTGTCCTCAATATTTTGTACGAAAAAATGAAAAACTGCGATTTAATTCACTTTGAACATTTGTCGTAAAGCTATTCCAAAACGCTGGAAATCGCATTTCTGGGACCCTAGGCTTCAACATTTTCCAGGGGAGGATGCCCTCGGACCCCATACGGCGTTTGCCGGTTTAGGACTGACGTTTGAAAAATCCTAGATCCGCCCCTGCTGTAATACTACCGCTGCGAGATGGTCCTCAGCTTCCTCTGTCTCGTATTCACATACTGGATAGGCTCATTTGTACCTCGGCATTTTCTTGCCCACGTAAAGTTACGACCTGCCTCTGGTGGATGAGAAGTACTCGGAGTAATTCAACGCCGCCCAAAAAATGGCGCCAAATATCGGCGATCGATAAGATGGTGGTTTACAGTGTAATTTTTTCTTTATCTCGGGGTCAGGAGGGAGTGTTATTGATGCCTTTATCGGTTCTGCTCGTTACTTTGGTTGTAGGGCTGCCTTCGGATTGATAAATTTTGATTAGATTTTGGTAGATTTGCTCTTGCTCCTTGGCCAACTAGGTTCCGTAAAATTTAGTAAAATCTATACTTCTCAATTCTATTGATCAAGTTGATCCAAATTATATTCAATTTTATGAACATAAACAATAAAATCATAAAACTATATCTTTGCTCACATAATGTACTCTTAAATTGTTTAAATTCCGTGGCACAAAATAATTTTCCACGTATCAACTCAAAGAAGGATGTATAAAACTTGACTTGTTAGAACGTTAAATCTGTTTAAAAGTTCAACTGTTCAAGGCTACACGCCATTAACCAGTGAAAAGTTTGTAAAACAAAAAATAAAGAATTTTCATGCTTGATTACGACGTATAAATGTGCCCATGGAAGCTTATAATTCTGTAATTGTAGATTAATCAAAATCAAACCAAGTTACAATTCCAAACAACAACAATTTGCTTACCCAAAACAAATCATTGCAATATTAAACAAGGTATGTTTACGTTGATGTGTGGTTTTATAAGGACACTTTATAATAAAGTGTTATAAGTGTAATAAGTTACTCTTTGCATAGTTGTACAGTAAGAATTTAAAAAATCTTCACTAATTTTCTCAACTGTGAAAACCTCCCTCATTGGGCCACCACCATCAGTAGAAGGTTCACCAGCAAAACTAATTTTAAGTTTTCTTCCTTTAGCAAACCATTTTCGTTTCTCTGCATCAACACAATCTGCAAAATCTAATCGTCTACAAATGGTAACTCTGTTGGTCGACATTCTTTTAATATTGATCTTAATTAGATGAACTACTTCTTGCATAGTGGCAACAGCTGGCTGTCCAGTTTCCTCTTCAGCAATGAGTGTGTTTTCCAGATTATATTGATCGTCATCTGATAACTTGCCAATTGGGTCTATCCACCTTTCTGCACACATGTCTGCATGAGCCTCTATGTCTGCACGTGAATAGTATCCAAGACATGTAGGGCATTGGTGTTGCAATAGATATTTTTCTATTCCATGCTGAGGCAATTGTCCCTGTGATACACTAAAAACTTGAGACGTTGAGTTAAATGAACTTTGAGAAGACAAAAAAGAGGATTGGAGGATTTTATTATTTGTATCTTCCTTGAAATCTCCACAACTTGTTGTGGCCAATGACTTTGATGTTGAAGGTTGAGACTCATGATACTTCATCGAAATCTCTTCACGTTTCTTTTCAGAACTTTCATCAGAAATTGATTTTCAAAATCATTTTCTGTACACAACCAGAAATAGATTTTGGACTATGGCAGCCACAAATCTTTATATTTTAAAAGCACAAATGGCATGTAGGTCTGGGGTAAATACCTCACTATTGACCTGTCATTATACAAAAGAACATATTTGTTATACTTGTTAAATTGTTTATGATGTCTTGAATGTTTATCAATTGCTGTTTCAAGAAGGGCATTTCTATCTTCATCTACTGCAATTGCTATTGTCCTTGGCTTCACACTTACCATCTCCATTTTTGTCTTTTACAAAGCCCACCTGCACCTTCACTTCCTTTGACAACTTTGCTTTTTTTCCACCATGTTTTGGCGCCAGTGTTTCTGGTGAGGTCCTTACAAAACGTTTCGTCATAGCATTCGAGTAATTGGATGATTTTGTCTTTGCCGGTTATTTTTGTGGCTTTAACATAATCCTGTCAGCGTGTTTGGAAATACATTTATTCCTCACTGGAACCGGCCGTGGATATGGTTGTATATCAATTACTTTTTTAAGAAGAGCATTTCCATCAACATATTCATCAACTGCAATTGTTATTGTCCTTGACTTCACTCTTACCAATAGACGATCTCCATTTTGTCTTTTTCAATGCCAACGTGCACCTTCACCTCTTTTTACAACTTTGCTTTTTTTCCTCCAGGTTTTGGCGTAAATTTTGATGATCTGTCTTCCAGGGGCGGATCTAGGATTTTGGATACCATAGGCAAAACATTATGACGTCATTCAGTGCTAAACCTATGACGTCATACTTTGCAAAACATACTACACTATTTATGCTTTCGATAAATTGTTTAAATCAAACAGTCTAATCATTCAGCTATGCAGAATCTTGTAGATCTCAATCGTATAAATACATAAAAACATTGTATATTTATACTTACATATCACAAGGTCGTTGATTTTCACTATTCAGAATATTGAATGCACACAAGACTGTTTCGCCCCATATCAGGGCTCATCAGCATGCCTAGGAACACTTTAACGCAAATCAAAAAATCGTGATCCGGCATGGACAGCCCTGTGAGAGCCGAATTAAGCAGACTGGTTATGGCGCCAGAAGTTCGCCTACACACCTTTGAAAAAGGAATTTGGTTAGAAATGGGTGACTATATGGGATATTTCATGGATGTGATATTGCTCAATTTTTCACACCATCCCAGTCAATTCCAACCCTTTACCTCCCACCTAAAAATGAGCACTCTGGTTTTTGAAGGCGCCAGAAACTCGCCTTTCACACCTTTAGCAAATAGCAAAAGGAGTTTGGTTAGAAATGGGTGACTATGTGGGACATTTCATGGATGTAAGATTGCTCAGTTTCTTACACCATCCCAGTCAATTCCAACCCTGTACCCCCCACCTAAAATGTGCACTCTCATTTGCCAACAAATTAGCAGAATGTAAATGTAATGTAATAGTCAAAATAGAGTTTTGTATAAAGAGTCTTTGTGAAGACTAAAATTTGGTGTGAGGAAAAATTATTCTATTTATGCTTAACAGTTTTTGTGAAAGTAAATTTATGTCGACAACGGCCGAGTACCATACACCTACTCAGCAGTTTTAAGGTTGGAATGTATATAGGGAAAAAAACCTTTATCGGGCGAGCTATTAGTTTGATGCAAATTCTATTGACGTTACTATTGTGTACAACGCACAATAAATGGTTAACATATGGACATTTCAACAAAATAAAAAACTAGGATATGAATAAATTCATGCAAATTTTAGCCTTGTATTTCCAACAGCAAAAGTATTAATAACCTCACCAATATCTGGTACAATTTCCTGATGAATTTGCATCAAGGCCAAACCATTTAAGCGTTCCCCAACCATGGTACTTCGCTGATAGTTTTTTAAGTGTCCTAAGGGAAGAAATAGATCGTTCACATTCACAAGAGGTAATGGGGAGCGTTCCTAAAATACGTAGTAAAATTTTAATGTTTTCAAATCCGGCGAAATGAACAGATTTTAAAGTCTGGGCAATGTTATCAGGAAGGAGGCCGCAGTGGGTCTCCCAATAAGTGTACCACAACCTAAGTTCAGCATCTAAGGCCAAAGGATTTGGCAAATCATCATAATAAAAGTTAGCCACAGTTTTGAATGGCTCTTTCCAATCCACCCCATCTCTTGTCATGGACATCATTTTCGTCGGTACAATGCTAAGGCCTTTATAGACATTCACACTCTCAAGGTCGAATCGTGATTCTAAAGAAGATTGCAAATGATCTAGTAGAGGAAGAGTAATTGCACGTTTATAATACTCAGAAATGGTTGTGTGGGGAATATTTTCCCTGGTCGTTTGTTTGCGCACTGTTCTTGGTTTCCATTCTTCAATGCCAACTTTTGCTGCCAGTTCAAGCGCTTCGTCATACCAGGTGTCATGATAAAAATCAGAGGAATTCCTCATGTTCACCACCTCAGTTTTCAAAGTTGAAATTAAATGAATACCATCCATTATATCGATACTCTTACCCTGTAATAACTGTGTTACTGGAAGAGTTGAATCAAGAATATTTCTCGTGATAACTAAAGCAACGACGAAATCAAACCTGTCAATAAGTTGAAACAAAGATGAGGCATCAGACTGAAGCGACGGTTTGAACTCACCATCTAGATTTTCAGACATATCGTTAAGGGTGGTGTATACAGGTACAAAAAGCTCTTGGAATGTATCTAAACCTTCGATACGTTCTACGCATCTAGTTTTGCAAACGTCTGTTAATCTAGTCTTTTTCGAGTTTGTTTCTGAATTACGTATATGTTTTTCAAAGAGAATATTGCAAGTTTGGGAAATTTTAATAAAATTAGTAGCATTGTTAACATGTTTCAACATATCATTGACAATACGTATACTCAAAGAATCGCAAATGGATAAGTTTAACCTATGACTATAGCAGTGTGTATAAAGAGCCTTTGGGTCAAGCTTTAAAATTTGAGCTGCTAGACCATTAGTGCAACCAGCAACTGAACCAGCCCCATCATAACCTTGCCCCCTACAATCATCTATTGATAAAGTCAGTTCCTTTAGAGCCTCTAAAAGTAGCTTGGCAAGTTGAGCATCACTTAGTCCCCACTTACAAAAAAGAAATGAAATGAATTCTTCCCTGATATTCATATCGGTATCAACAAAGCGCAAAACAAGAGACATTTGTTCTTCATCTGAAGAATCAGATGCTTCATCAGCAATAACAGAAAAAACTTACTTTTTGATATCAGAAATAATCTGATTACTGATTACCTGGCCACAACATTTAATGATTTTATTTTGACTTGTTTTAGAAATATAACTTCTATTCTTACCACAATTCTTTAAATGATTTTCTAAAACTTTATCCCCTCTCCTAACTCCATAATTGAGTGTTTCAATGAAATTACCAACCCCTCCAGATGAATAACAACCAACAGTAGGGTGATACTTGGAATCATCACGATGCCCACGAAGAGGTAAACCTAGACGTCCACAAAAAATGACAGAATCAATAATTGGAGATAGTATTTCCTATTCTGTTCTATTTCTTTCTTGATACCAGCATCCATGATCATCTCGATAGGCTGCAGAGTACCTGATATTTGGGAACGCAAAGCATCAAAATTGGTGATGTGGATGCATGCAAACCGACTTCCCTCCCTTTACTTTTTCCAGCATGTTGAGTGAAAGAGCATTTAGCATTCTTCCAATCTTGAAGAGGTTCAGTAAACAACTTTTTTTACTTTACTGGCCTTGCCTGGGAATCTATTGCCAAACAACACACACGATAGACAATACGCACCATTTTGTGAAGGTGAATAGCAAAGCCATTCATGCTGGTCTAGCCAATCATGCCTAAATGATCTGCCATTAGATTTAGGAAAATGATACTTTTTATCTGGTTTATATACATTTTTTTATCAAATGACATATTTCAGAATTATCCATACCCTTAACTTTCTCCCTATACAAGGAAACATCAAAATTATGGGTTAAAACAGCAGGTTGCATATCACCAGAAGTTGGAATACCAGGCAATAGTTCCTGGGATGATGTGTGAAGCAAAAGACTATTGGCTTTATTTAATGTCTGAGCAAGAGCTGCAGTCTGACCAAACTCTCAATTGGGCATCCTTTTAAAAGTTGGTTGGGCAGCAGGCCTATTAGTTGAAGTAAAAAAATTTGAAATGTCAACTGTTTTTGGTGCAATATTTGGAAAAATTTGACAAATTTTCGTTTCTCTGTTGTTGAGCTGCTAGAATTAGACTGTGTACAGGAATTAGACAATTTTCGCTTCAACCTGTGGGCATGGAAAATGAGAGGCACAAAATGATTAGACTGAAAAGTCTCACCTGGTTGTACAGATCCTTCATGACAAAACAAAATATTAATAGCATCCAAACCTCTTTGGCTTAATAACCGGGGCTGAACAATACGATTAAATAACAATTTATATCTACTTTCACCAGAATCAGGATAAAAAGTATGAATTTTTCTACCTAAAACAGAAGATAGGCCCAAAATACAAAGAAAAGATGACCATTTCTGGTCATTACAATTTAAAATAGCCTCCTGTTTTACCAGTTCATCTGTTGTATATCCAGTGTCTAAACATTCTTTAGACACTGACAAAGGCAAAAGATTGTTTAAGCTTTGGGCAAAGTAATCACTGTGCTCACTTATAACAGACAAAAAGCATGGGTGTTGAGCATAAAAAGCAGCATGAATAAATAGCTCAAGCGATGTTAAAATTCGCAAAGTAGGGACCAATGCATTGTTACCTACCAGAACTAGGGAAGCTGAACTGTAGAGGCAATTGCCAGAAGCTTCAGATCTTAAAAAAATATTCAAGAAAAGAAATTAATATTTTGTTTGGTAGATTGATTGCATTGTATGAATGAATTGCTGACTGTAGACAAAGATATAGCCTAGCGAAATTGAGATTTAACCATTTTACACGTATATATAAATACTACAATACGATATATATAATTATAATATATTTACCTTATTGCAGTACAAGTCTTTCCGTCATGAGCGTGCTTTGGCACATATATTTCAGCTCCAAAATTTCGACACAGAGTATGGTCGGGGTCATAAATTCTATCTAACAGCTGCTCGTTAGTAAACATAGGTCGAACGTCGACCAATAAACGAGAATAAAGCTCATTAAGGCATTTTAAATCGTTTTTGGCCAACGCAGACTGAGCAGTCTCGTATAAATTACCACAACACAATGAAGACATTATAAAATATCACAAAACCGTAAACTGAGCACAGAGGCTGTTCAGAAACAATACGAGTGTATGTTAATTTTCAATTGCCTAATTTGCCTAGCTCAACTATGCTTATCAACAGCAATGATTGGTTGGAATTGCTCAAGTTAGGCAAAAAAATTGACCAATGAAAGCATACGGTTGCAAAAAATTGCCCAATCTAAATACCTATCCACGATGTCAAGTTAGGCAAATTCATCTTGTTTAGGCAAATTGCTAACAACCAATCAAATGGCTAGATCGCCTTCTTGACTTAGGCAAAATGGCTGCTTTGCCTAACAACACGGAGCTTTATAGATAATCATACGCATCTGGACTACGATTCATATCAAAATTACGTCATTTAATTGCACAACATTTCTAAACAAAAGTCAGATGATTTGACTGCGATAAAGTGCTATTCATAGTTTCATAATTCGATAAATTCGTATCGAATCTAAGTCGAAGTATATTTTGGTAATTTCACCATAGGCACTTGCCTATGGTGCCTACCCCTAGATCCGCCCCTGCTGTCTTCCTCTTTCTTCTTACGGAACTCTTCAAATGAAAGGGAATTTACTCCAATGGTCTTGCTTGGATGTTTTGAGCCTATTTCTGTGTTTAGATATAGTTTTGAGCCTATAGCTGTCTTTCAGACTCGTGTTTTATAATTATTCATTGATAAGATTTACCAGATAGATTTCCTCGAAACTTCAAGTAACTGCATTATATTCAACTCATGCGCGCGCACAAGTTTGAACTTTGCACGGAAAACAAGCAATATTGTACGGCGAAGCAACAAATGTTCCATGGAAAACGTAGTATTTTGCGTGGAAATATTAAATGTTCAATGGAAAACACAGTATGTTGCTTGGAAATATTAAATGTTACATGGAAAACATAGTATTTTGCTTGGAAATATTAAATGTTCCATGGAAAACATAGTATTTTGCATGGAAGTATTGTCTGCCTTGTGGGCCACCATACTAATATCATAATAATTTCAAATTACGTCTTTATTATATCAGTGAAGAAACAAAACAAATCAACATAGAAAAATAATTAGAAAGACATTTTGATGAACAATAGTAAGTTGAAAACGGTATCATCAAACTCTACGAGATGTACATCATCAAAATATTCGAATTAAAGTACCTCTGTTGTCATTAAGCGAAGCAAAGTTTTCAACCAGTTCCTATGTGAATAACTTCAATATCAATGAATATGTTGAAGATATGAATACCTTTGTTCTTACTTTGTTGTAAATTTGTAATTTAAGTATTCATCTTCTAAAAATGCCTCGCACGGCTGAAATTGTCCTCGTCACCTTCAACTTTCAAATTTCAATACAACTTGCCATCTTATTTTCAGTCGTTACAAAGCAAAAAAACAGAGCTTCAGAGTTAGAACTCTCTACCGGGTTTCCTCTACATGTCTTAAAAATTTTCCTTAATCAGATGTTTGTAAAGGAATAAAAACGCGAAAACTCTGATTTTTTAATACAAAAGTATAGTAAAGTGGGACCGATACCCCCCATGAAGCCAGTAGCAAATGATCGATCTTCCGGCTTCAATTTTCGAAAGAGATGCGTTACCCAGTTAATATATATATCAGTGAGGTAATCGCATTTGGTAATCGCCAGTAATCAGCCGTCACTATGGATATCTTGTTGTATTGTGACACTTCTCAGTGAATCTTTGTGAAATATTTTTTTTGTTTTCTTGTATTGAAATCAGGTATGTAACATCGATGTTAACCTAAAATCTTCCTTTGAATTTTTGTACTTTTTTGTGTCAAATCATCAGCGAAAATTGCGTATGTTTATAATATGCGTGGCGACAACAAATTAAATTGGAGGGAATGCTTTGCAAGCCTTTGCTATTTATGTTGGAAATGTTCTTGTTCTTTAACATCAATGATTTTTACAATGTAAACTGTCTTATGTAGAGTTTACTAGCCTGTATTGCCTTAGAGACAAACTTGGAACATCCGAACAATATTTAGTATATAGCGGATATAGTTGATACGTCAACAAAGTCAAAGACTCAAAGTAAGCCAAAATTTTATGCTTGGATAGATTTGAATTGCTAAAAAAAATTGAATTGCTAAAAAAATCATTGATTTCGCTCTAAAGACATTAGGAAAAAATCATATACCAAGGCAATAATACTAAGTTCTACAAAATGCGATGTAAATTTAATAGCATGTCAACAAAGGCTGCGTTGGCTTGTTTCCTCATTGATTGGACATGTATGAATTTGATTCTTTTTGGAGAAAAATATAAAAATTTGCTCTCTACTTATTTTTCAATAAATAGCGAGCAGTGAAGCAATAGATAAGGAGTAGTGAAAAAACATGGCTGCTGACATTGCCGTCTTGCGTTTTAGCAGCCGTGACACCTGTTTAGGTTTATTATGCAATCAATTTATGTAATAGTACAGCTGTTAATGACAAAGTTCTTCACTTGAATGATACAAGGGTAAAACTTTCTTATACTCTTACCATGTCTCAAAAAATAAAATTTTGATATAAGGCCAGCCGATATTTTACATTTACAACGCGTTCTGAGTCATCGCAATTTCTCTGTATATTCTTATATACAACAGCTAAAGACGATAAAGAACTATATCACAACTTTTGCTTTTGAGCAATACATTCTGAAATATTCTACATTAAAGGTGTTTTAAAAGTGCTGTCTCAATACTTTTGTTTAGTGTTATTGCTCTTTCTCAAATACATTGGAAAAGCCTCTAACCAAGAACAGTAATATTAAAATGATTTTAATGCCATCATGTTTTTGACAATCACCACCACAATTACACAAACGAGTACAAACTAAGTGTGCTTTGACGCATTTACAACGACTAGAACATAAACTTTTGCATCCGCAACGAATAAGTTCATAACGTTGGCTCAAGCGTTGAAGCTGCACGAAGGTTTGAAGATTTGTCTGGTTTATCACAGAAAATGCACTCGTTCTTGGAAACTGCAGGGAAGCTTTCTCTTCTGGTTTTAACTGGACTTCCTTTTTCGATTTCAGATATTTGGTCTTTCTCTGTCTTCTCCTCACTTAAACTTCTTTTCATGGCACGTTGCAACTTTGTATTGTTGAAAAGATCCCTACATGACTTATGCCATGATGCTTGGCGTTTTTTCAGCATTTCTTTTATTCCATTATCTCCATCGAGACCCTTCACGTCTAGATTCACCGGTAACATATCAATTTTAATAAATTCTTGCAGATTTTTCGCAAATAAGGAGTACCCAACTCCGGCATTCTTTCTTTTTGAGTTTTATCGACATTGTAGACATTCTGCAGTGTCTTTTTGACAAATTATGCATAGTTTCCAGTCCACGAGTTAAATAATATTCTAAGAGGGAAGCAGTTATTGACAGTAAATGTGCATGCTTTTTTGTGTTACGCAAATTGATGCGCGTCATTACAATCTTAAAGCAAAGTTTTACAACAAGAACAAGTAAGGACATAATAATAGATTACTTCATGGTTGGTCAGTGCGTATGATATTTATGCACGATATGAGAATCAATTAGGTGATTGTTTTGAAGCGTTTCAAAACAATGAAGTGACAAAAAGTGCTAAAAACCTGAAATGTTAAAGGTTAGAATGAATAAGTATTCAGAATGCTTACACAAGTAAGGTAATAAATCTTAAAGAAGCTTAATTGAATGTTCTTAATTGTTTCAATACGATTTATCATTGCACTATGGTGAAAGCCGGGAGGGCACATTGTTACATTTCATAAATATTATATATATATATTACGGATAATAATCCTGGATAAAAGAGCGCTCAATATTCTATATATTAGAAGAGCGTAAGATAAAATGAACTAAAATAAAATGAGCAATTATTTGCTGTCGCTACTCGGAGTTTCACGCCGTAGGGCGATCTTCAGGAAACTGACAGATTATATTTTATTTGCTGACTATATACATCGACTAAAAGGTGTTAAGTTACATGACGGCATGCACTATATATATATAAAAATTAAAAAAAAAAAATTTAAAGGACATGGGACATATATTTTTTCATGTCGCGATATCATTCATTGCAGTTTAGTATTCCGCAAAACATTATTTTTCCGGTTTGAAAACATATATTTAAAGCGCAATTTAGAATGAAAGTTTGCTTATTTCAAGGGCTGTTCCGCCATCTTGAAATGAGCAGCCAAATTAGATTTCATATGTGACGTCACAACAGGAGACTTTCGCTAATGAATATTGTTTATATTGCAAATTGACAAGCATTCTCATTTATTACGCAAAGTTTGGGACTTTTCACTGCTGTTACAGCACTCAAAATGGAAAATATTAACAAAGATGCTATGGTTCAGCCTTATATGTTTGAGCCAATGCCAGATGAATTTGTAGAGAGTGAGAATTCTGACTCAGAAAGTTCTTCGTCGAGCGAAGTAGATGATCAGATAGACGAGGAGTTTGAAGCTATGTATAGTTGGCGTAAAACTTCACTCAGTTGGTGTAAATGCGACCATTGTGAGTTGATGGCAAAAACGATTGAATGCTTCTGCTGTCATGAAAAAGCGGTTGAATATGACGAATATGATGGCAAACTTAAATCGGCACAGGATACAGGCTTGTCTTGCGTGACTGAACTTGCTTTCTTCAATCAAAACATATCGGCAAACGTCCTTGAAATAGATACTTGGCAGTATATTGAAGAAAACAGTCCGTTAGGTGATGACGAACTTGCCGTCATACACAAAATATACCGTCTTGTTGCGTATCGAAGATGTTCGAGATGGATTTTTTATATTCTTGGCAAGAAATGTCGAAGGCCATTTCCATCTTGCATGAACAAATGCATACGAGGGAAGTATTGGTCATCTGATGCAATTTACACTCATTTCAAATATGCCAAGTAAATTGAAATTGGATTTGAGATATTTGAGATTTCAAGGCTTTTAAATTTTCATCATCTATTGTTGCATTTCATGGTTTGGCAACCACAACTTTCCGTACATGGACGATTCTTATTCCTACAATAACATCGGCTTGTAGCACATTTTCCCTTGCAAAGACATACTATGTCATTTATTTTATCGTCGGGCAAAGCAGGCGTCGTGAATCTACTGTATTAACGCAGGAGCAACAGAAAAAAAGGGTTGCTATAATGTTTATGTTCTCCATCTTCAAATTTAAAAATTCCCGCGAAATGTCAATCCTTGTGTTGATTTCCCATGTAAACACGGATTGACATCACGTTTCGATCGGGATTGAAAGTCATTCCGGATTCATGTAAACACTCCCTATGACTTTTGCGAATATGTTTCATGAAGCTTTAGCTGTCATATTTGTTGATGTTTTTCATCGTCTACGATTTCCTACGAGTACGAACAAGAGCACGAACACGAGCACGAACATGGACATGAACAAGCTCCGATACAACCATACAATATGTATACTGAATATACAAATATATAATTTATTTTTCTTTTTTTTTATTTCATTATGTATATTGCATGTACATAATGTAAAAAAAGTGTGAAAAAATGTTTTTTTAAGAATAATTTACACTGACTACATCAAAACACATATAAAAGTATATTGTGTTACCAGATATGCCTCCCAGTTGTGACGTCATTGCATAAATCTGCATATCTCATTATATTCAAAACAAATCAAAATGGCCGCGGAACTTTGAAATTGTAGTCAGAAAAACCTTTGTTACATGAAGACAAAAACTTTAGTTGAACTAACAAAGGTATATTATAAGTCTATGCGATATTTCCCGTTAATTAAGCCTAACTTAAAATATACGTCCAATGTCCTTTAAAACAAATCCAGAGAATCCTTATAATTATCATAATATGCCTGGGTTACCAATTTTCAAATATATTAAATCGACATATGGGATGGATGCTCTCAGAATAACGAGAAAGTGGGAATTATTCGCACGCAAAGAAATATCGACGTTGGAGCAGCTACACTTCTTACACAACTGCAAACAACAGCGAATCCTACCGAACAGTATCAACTACCAACCACCAATAAAAACGAATTATGCCCAACAAATAGCACAATCAAACGGCCAACGTATGCTGAACATCCTCATATCTGACGCTCACAACCGCTTACGAATCTACAGACGAAAATTAAACCAACATCGAGAAACTGTCACGAACCACATCACACGAACAGATGCCAAATCCATTGACGAAACTATCAAAGAAACAACAAACGCGTATCGAACAAAACGACACAACGAACTCCAAAAAAAACTACAAAAATCGAGATCATTTAAGGAAATTAACACCGACACGCATTCATGGGTCAAGAACATATCAAGCAAACCACTCACCGTACAGCAGACTAAAATTCTAAGCAAAGGCTTAAATTACAACATCAGAGACGCCGACAAACTTGACTTCGTTGCCGATCTAGAATCCCCACTGAAATTCACCAACTTAAGTAATGAAATCAAAGAAGAAATTCGCCACAAAGTAACGACAAACCTCTGCCTCAAAAGACCAGTCACACTTAACAACGAAGAACAAAAAGCTATCAGAAACTTACGAAACGACGAAGACATAGTCATACTACCAGCCGACAAAGGACGCAAAACTGTAATCATGGACAAATCAGACTACATCAACAAAGCAACGATCCTCTTACAAGACACCAACACGTATGAACCTCTACAAACAGACCCCAACAAAACCACTACCAACCGCATCAACAAGAAATTAAAACAACTAAAAGACAAAAAGAAACTTAACGAAACCGTCTACAAAAGAATCCGACCCAACGACTCCTCCACCGCCAAATTCTATGGACTACCAAAGATTCACAAAGAAAACAACCCGCTACGACCAATTGTATCTCTTCCTGGATCTCCCACGTATGAACTATCAAAATATCCTTCTAATATTCTGCACCCACTAGTCAAATCATCACATCATACTATCAAAAATGCCACAACTTTCCTCGCCAATATTAAAAATGTAAAACTAAAACCAGACGAACTCATGATATCTTACGATGTAGTGTCACTTTTCACATCCATACAAC